TGAACGAAACTGCGGCAGCTACAACCACTGTACGACGAGTACGCGGTTATTACAGCTGACAATGATGACGATGATGACCGATTCTGAAGAAACGGACAATTCAGCAGCAAAAAGCTACAAGGCGTTGTGTGGGCGTTTCATTCTTGTTGAGAATCATTGGCAGTCAGCGTCTCACGAATTTCCGTGGAGATTCGAACTCGCAACCTCTCGGCTAGTAACGGAACGAAACCGTTCGGCCAAGAACATCTGATCAAAAGCTAACTCACGCTTAGACAAGATATCGTGCCACTTTTTCTTCAATCACGAAATTCACACCATGTGGTCACCTGTTGGCTGACTCGTCAAGCAACAACTTTTCATGAAAGTCTAACTCGTCCTGCAAATCACCCTGGAATCCGTTGAAAACGTAGTCAGACGATGTTATTTGAGAGTATTTTTTATGGGGATTGTTGCCTTCGAGGCTGCGTCCACTGTTTCCCACTTCAAGGTCCTGTTTTATCGGAGATTAGGACCCAAAACGAAGCGATAATTGGACACGGTTCTGACTAATACATAGACCGTACACGCAGATATATAACAGAAATGATCATTGGGTGAACTCATCGTCAGTCAGACATATTGATGTTCCGAGATTCCCCAGGTAGAAATTCAAGCGAGACACACCACAAGTACATCCGCTCCACTAGCGCAGCAGAAATGCATCCGTTTATATAAACTATGCTTCGTCATCCGGGTCTTCATACCCTAGTTTATTGATATTTTTTTAAGATTTCAACCACACAGTCCACATTAAGTTCTGTGTCCGGGGTCTCTCGACTGCAATGTCCTGTCTTCCTAAGGCGCATGATTCTGTGCCATCGAAATAAAGCCATTGACAAAATCACCCTACTGTTGTACCGTAAGTTGAAGACGATGCGGGTTGTGTCCAACCATAAGTCGTGGATCCCCTGTTGGTTCTTGACTTCGCGTTCACGTCACAATAATCTGAACAGTCGCCATCCTGTCCTAGCGCAATTATTCTGACGAGTCCACACCAAAGGGGGGAAGCACTAGACTTGAGTTTCGCTCCTGTTAAAGCCCACCAGTAGTGTACATTCTTGTCCGCGCAGGGGTTCGGGCTCCGAATAGTTGACATGCGGGTCAAGCGAGTAACAACTAGACCACCAGCGCACGCTGAACGGGTGCGAATTTTTACATCTGAACATGCGAAAAACGAGTGCACGCTTATGCGACGTGACTGACTTGTTTCTGAAGCTTCAAAGTTGGCGAACGAAATGAGGTCAAGGCCATACACGTAACTTCGGCCTCCTGTGCATTTATCGGCTTGTTCTCGCCGGACTGAGAACTACTGTTAGTGAAGCGTTTCCTGTTCGTTTGAGATTTCACAAGCATGCGGCAATTAATCGCAGGAATTATTTTTTTAATGTTTCCATATTGGAGGTTTCTAAAAACGAAGGAATGTATTCGTAATACAAAAAAAGGAGGAACCACCAAGATTGTTTCTTCACCGAACCTGTTTCTTACAAGGGATATTGTCATAAAAAGGGAGCCCTGTAACAGCCAGGAAACTGGAAAAATCTTCAGACATACAAGAAAGTTTCATGCTCAAAAAAGGCAAGAAGTTAGCCCCAAAGCTACCAAACCGGATATTCACCTATAAACGGATTTGTACCAACCTTATGAGCACTGTTACAACAATGAAAGGTTACGCGCGATCGTCTGCTTTTCGCAAGGTTGCCCGTCAAAAGGGTTATTATCTTCAGTCGTAGTTGACAGAAAACAAACCAGCAAAGTATACTGGGGTTTAACTGTCACACAACTATCAGGCCAGAAAGCCTCAGTAAGAAGTGGAAATATAAGGAAAGAACAGGAACTGTGTGCGAGGAGGTCCTGTGTCCTTAGGGAAAACTACTAATAAAACTATAAAAACTACAAAAATTAGGGTGTCTACTCCTTTAGATTGCATTGAAGTAAACACGTGAGCATCATATGAAATTAGGGCACGATCAGCTGGACCGATCCGAAGACCTTTGCAAACCTCGCCCGATTATGCCCAACAACTACAGGCAAAATTTAGCCACGCATTCCGGTTAGGAAATAACAGCATTTGCACAAAATGGGACTTTTTTCAATTGTTACGGAAAGTAAAAACTAGAATGTTTTATCAGTCCCATAAGCTAATACATCCAATTTATGTGAAGCCTTGGGAAGTATGCCACGCGTGGTGGAAAAATTGTCATGAATCAATCATGTTGTGAAGGGCTGAGTTGTCATAGTAACGAGCCCATAAGTGGACCAGGTCGATGCCTTCTCTTGTCTACAACCCAGGCACTATTGTTCTGCTTTCCCAGCTCAGCAAAGTTGCTCACATGGCTTGTTTGGGACTGACGTTAGGTGTATGGACTTGAACTGAGGGTCAATCGCGACACTATTCTACAAGTTTATAATATCCTTTTTATAGGTTGTTGGCAGACCCCAAATAGTAGCTTTTGTCCAATGAAGATTTGCCACTTCGATTAATGGAAGCGGTGGATTGCACAGTGAAGTTCGGAGTGACCGGAACTTCGATCGTACTTTTCCTTTTTTTCCTCTTTCTTCTGGCCTTCCTAGTATGTCTAGTTGTGTCCTTCTCCAAACTGGTCACCTAATTTGCTTCCACACAGTGTCAAGGGTCATCATCCTGGCACTAAAGTCGAACACATACGGACAATTTTCAGAGGAAAGAACCTTCGAAGATAAGATGAGCATGGTATCGTGGGGAAAAACACGGGGAAACGAAAAACGGCGACGTTCGAAACTGATATGACGAAGCATGCTGTCCAACCGTAAGTCTAACTTATATAAGTCACCTGATTTTCGGTCTCTCGGATTATTAAAAAAACTGCCCACAGAAAGGACAAAAACGCGTTGTTTCGTTGGTTATTAAGTCGTCAATATTCAAAATATTTCCAAAAAACTTTTGAATCGCATTTTGACCTCATATCGTTTGTCCCCAAATGGTTGTACTTCGGGTGCCTAATAAAAAACTATCGTTGAAGAAGGGTCTGAGAGCCGCACAGTATTGCTGGAATCCTTCCTGATAGAGACTCATTCCCAACTACGCTCATGCAGCTGACAGAATTCCATTTGAAGATAATTTTGGTAGTTGGGGTTATAATGATGACCATTTGGTTTTCTAGCCGAGCTGATCATTTTGCTTCCAACCCAGCTCTCGGACGCAACTTGGATTTAGGGGCCGCTAAGGGAATCATTGCAAGCCGTCGGACCTAACTTAGGAAACGACAGGCGAAAAACAAACAAGAAATTAAAACAGCAGTGTAACCCGCTCACCTATTCCCTAGGAGGCACATTTATCAAGGAACAGCCCACGAACTCCAGTAAGGTTCAAATCTCTGATCACATCCTTGGACTCAAGAAATCTCCTCTTTGGTTGATAAAATAACTAAGGGCACCATCAGTACAAGTGGAAAAAACTATGTACTTTGGTATATATTCCGTCGCACAAGAGCGGGCAAGACTGTGCTACCTCTGGAAAATCAACCGCTTCTGTCCCTATATTCAGCAACATCAGCAAGCATGATGGGTGTAAAACTCACCTGGTTACATCATCTGTGTGTTCTAAATAGTGTCGCTGACACTGTTCCTCGATGTTGTATAGAACGACCACTGCAGCCACAAAGTAGATTATCTCGCCGGTTGGAAGGTAGAATAAATTGTTTCGACAATCACGTCCCCGATAACCGTAGCTATTGCGCCGATGAATGGAGTCAAGGAATTTTGTACGGGTAGCGATAAAAATTGCCTCAGAGAGACAGGTGTGAGACGGAAATGAAAATCCGTAAAAGCATAGATAGTTTTGCCTTGAGTAAAGCATTTATTCCCATAAGTGTGCCGGACAAGCGAGCCTTCCAGTGACAGACAGTGTATCAGAGGAAACTCTTACGTCATAAGGCCGATTATTTCAGTTAGTCCATTTAATGATTTTAAGCCTCAGCATAGCTCGGTAACCCCGAAAATTGCCAAAATAACCCATATTTCAAGGTCTACAGGTAAGTTGGGAAATCCAGTTGTTGGACAACTACCGCACCTGGTGAAGCTCCGTGTTGACAGCTAAAGCACGGGGGTGACGGAAAGTTTGTGTTGGAAACTGACAGTATAGTATGTTGACAGCTCACATAAACATTGTAGTTTAATACACTGTTAGTCGTATGAGGGCCTCCTCCAAGACGCAAGACCTCAGGCAAGAAGTGGTACGGAATTTCGTTTCATGGTCACCCCTACTGGCGAAGAGACAGGGTCCGAGGGAGCACTAATGCATCGGAATCGCGAAATTAAAATATATATCGGAATATAAAGGGTCTTACATTTGGCAGGTTTTTCATGCCAAAACTGGCATTAAAACACAATCTCAAGACAATCGATTTCTGTACAGCGACGAACATGGATCCATAGAGTCCAGTGCCACAGTTTCACCTTTCAATCGTGTATATCGAGTCTTCACACCAAAAGAACCTGTTGTTTGACATATATTTCTTTCCCGCACTAAGCGCTTGTGTATAAAGTGACCTTAACATTGCACTGTTTTCAAAATGTGTGCCATAATTCCTAATCAAGAAATTTTCGAAAGCGCGTTCAGCTGCATCCCAGGTAAAGTTCTGCTATCTCTCCAGCAATATAAGAACAGTGACTGCTTACTAGAGGCACACCAATATGGCATTAATTGCCGGCCATTAGAGAGGACGAAATTCTGCGAGCAAAACAGGAATCGCATGGAGCAACTCATGTTGAACTGCATTCCGTTGGAGTTGATTTGGCCTCATTTGTGCAGCTGGCTACCTAGATATCGATATGAACATTGGTCGATCGAATGGATACTATAGAGCAGAAAAACGAGCGTTGACCTCAAGCGACAAATTTACGCTGCAGTACATACGGTGGAAAGAGGTTGCCACAATAATAACTAGAATTAACGTAGCGGAAATTTCGGTAGGCGGGGAACCACAATGTCATTGTGATACACCCGGAGATATGTGCAGTGTAAATTAAAACCAGTGAGTGTAAACATGGACGCTCAATGAATCGCATAAACTTTTCGCACGCAAAATGGAAAGGGCAGTAGGAAAAGTTCTGAAGTATTGGAAACGGGAGAAAATCTCATCTGCAGCTTACCATACAACCCCAATAAATTACAACAGGATAGATACTATTGCCATAATTGTGTATACAAGTCGTGCTAAGGACGATTGGGGTTATTGTTACCCAGCGGTCAGCAGTAACTCGTAAGCGATAGAGAATAAAGCCTCTGAGAAACGGAAGTAGCTGCTCCTAGCCCACAAGCAGATGCACTAGAACGGACTCCCAAGATTTGCCCGCGTAAGGTAGGAAAGGGTAAACCTAATCGGCTACGGTCTATCCACAGTTCCTTCAATCCACAACGAAGGCCAAAAAACAACTGGGTCACGAAATTTGGTTATCTACCCTACGAACGTTCGGTATATGGATAACGTACAGTGAAAACGGTTAAGTAACACCATCGTTGTCATCCCACCCATAGCTGTGTCCATGTGGTGAAGACATTTCATGAAGTAAGTGACACTGATCATCGACGTGCGTCGGTTCGTGAGCAATCTCCATCAGCGCTGGCCAAGTTGTTTTCAATATCTACGTTTGTTTATTAACCGAACTGGCACTTGGAAAGGCAGTACAAATTAGGAAGTTGGAAGGCCTAAACTTCTGATACGAAGCATTGCGAAACGAGGGTTCGTGTCACGTGCTTTCACGTGCACAGTGTTGGGTGAAAAATTCCTGGAACCTAACAAAGACATGAGGGTAATCTATATTCACTCTTCAAATTCCAACAGGGAGGTTCACATTTTCCAATAGATGATTCCTATTAATTACACGCCTATTTGTGGGTTTTTAATGTTCCTGTTCTGTCGCACGGGCCTAGGTTTAAAAATTAACGCTGCCCAAAGAGTGTCCTTATACTCTGGTTCACTGAGCACACGAGCGATTCGCACTAAAACCAAAAACATCATTGGAATTCGGCTTGAAACAGTTGGCTATTCCATACCTAAAAATCAAAACACAGGGAAGGGATGAAAGAACGATCAATACTGGATATACCGCAAAACCTAGCGGCTAACCACATGGCGTTCGTGCTGCCAGTTTCTGTTCAGGCTGTCTGATTGGGCGTTTAGAAGGGTAGGCGTCTAAAAATGATTATGATCGCCTGGTATCAGGTCCTTTCTCTGTCTACTCTTCTTTTTCCACGATACGCTTTTGAAGATGATTAAATAAAATTTGTGGTTGCATAGCAGCGAAGTATCAGTGTCAAGACTAAGGTTGCTCTCTACGATAGTCATCAGGAGACCAGGACTCGCTATTTTAGCCCGGGTCAAACCTTGCGTTCAGCTACACCGTTGGCTCAAAGATTATTTGTGATGCACTGAAACGGACACGCGTTCAGTCACTTCAAGCCTCTAAAAGAGCCCACTCAAACATTGGGTGGTCCACAAACTGACAATGCACGACACCACCAAGGGGGTATCTCGTGTACAATGAAATAACTAAATCAAGTGTGAGCTTTGAAGCCCTGGATTTTTATCCAAATAGACACCGCTATGCTGCCAGCGGACCGAATAGGACATGAAATTATTTAGTGTGAATCTGAAGACTGCACACTTTTCGCCCACACTTCGAAACACCTTGAGACGAGAGTGATTAAATGCGACAAAATTCTCCGTTCCAATTTTCGTCGTTGAGGACAAAGAGGTACGTAAAATTGAGGTTGAAAACGGTTCTTTTCTTCACAGATATCTAACGCCGGATACAAATGCTAGTCATTCTATGGACTTCTCTTTGAACAAAGCATCAAATTGCACCGACCCATGAATGTCAAAACCCCAATGGAGACAGATAGGCAACAGAACAAAAGACTGATGAATACATGTTACAAACATGGTTCAGCTAATTAGCAGCAGGTGCGAAAACACTGAACTTGTACAAATGACAATGAACCCCAAATAAGTAATTTAAAAGGGATCGGAGACACTGCTAACACTCCACAATGTTTTCTTCTGTGCAAAAATGAATGATGGGGTTTCACCGGACGTCTGATTTTTTGGGCATCGACTGGTGTAAAAAATGGGGGGCGTGAAACTGTGCGCCCTAATGTCCAATCAGGGTCCGCCGATTCGTGAAGTATGGGGTAGCCTTTGGTTTCAGAATACCTTGGGCGGCTTTGGTCAAACCTTTCAATAATCTCAGGATGTCGTCTCCATATTCAGCTTCGTTACAGATGTAAGCAAAATGTGAGCCGCAATTCCTACATAGGTAGGCTCTGACCCGACTCACACATTTTGTTGCCTGCGTAACAAAGCTGGTGACAAGACTGACTATGGGATCATTGAGTAAGTTAATTAAGGTCCGCACAAGTTACTTTGAAAGTGAGAGACCCCTAATACCTGGTGAGTCGGTGGACACTGATGGGACAAATCTTCAGTGAGCGGTGACCGTATAGCACTGGCGTTTTCTGTCACCCGTCGATGACCCAGAGGGATCCAATTTGTCCCAATGACTGTTGGCAAAAGAAGTGCCGTTACTTGTCCCTCTCTACCTTGCAATGCTATGGAAGAATCTAAGCGAAACTCTACTGTTTGTGATCCGTTAGCATCGTTTTGACCAATAGGTGCACACCTGGGAATATGAATCAACGAACAAACTAATCGTCGCAGAGACGTGCACTAGGGCGAAAAGTGGATGTGACTAGAGTGGCTCTGAAATCACATAGGACAGGTACGGCGGAGATCACAACCAGCAGTTAAATGATAAGGAAACCCGACGGGCAAACCACCGGTCGGGCAAACAAGTCATTAATTCTACTGTAAGATAGGCAGGAGATCTGTCTCCCATATAGGCTCACCTGATACCTTATTCGCGACAGTTGCTCCCTCCGAGCAGTCGCCCGTTCTAATTATTTGGCTGCTCGCTGTGGTATCGGCAGGCCTATTCGTCGTACGCACTTGGCGTAGCAGTTAAAACAGATGCAGTCTCTCTGTCTGT